TAGAATGAATGACTAATATTAATTATTAATGTTAAATGCCAAAATGCATCATTGATGATGACATGACATGATATAAAATGAATTGATTACAACAATTGTAGTAAGTTTAATTTGTGATTCTTTTAATGAGTGAATTTTAAATAGTGATCGGTGGGGTGCATTTGTAACATTTTATATATATATGGTGCAGGACATCAAAACGTAGATCAGTCCGAAATTTTTAAATGATGGTCTTGACTAAAATTGGGTTAGTGTTACTTTAATTAAAATTGTGATTTTATTCAATTGTGATTTTATTTAATTCTTCTATAACTCCATCAGGTATTCTCCTATGAGAACTGTATTTTTTGACAGCATACTCTGCTAATTTGCCACTAATTCCTTTTCTGTAAAGATCCATGTAATGCCAACATTTTCTTGAAAATCTTCTAATTGTAACTAAGGGCACTGATTCAAGACTTTCAGGTACTGTTTTTTGCAATTTTCCCTTAGATGCTGTTTGGCTGCACCCCAATATCTTTCAATGAAATTCAGCTCACAGTGAAACTTTGGAAAAAATATACACTTGTGTCCAGCACTCTCAATTAAATCTTCAATTGCTCCTTTTTGTTCAAGAAAATCAGGTTCCAGAGACATTACTTGACAAGCACAACAAGAAATTCTTGAAAGATCCTTAATATTTTTTTTACATTCTTTGCATTCCAATATTAGTCCATTGGGTGGCCATTTTCCTCTTTCAATTAACACTTATTTTCCCCCTTAATGAGTCTCATTTGAGATTCGGATTCAAACACTACTTAGGGTGTCCAGGATTATGCTTTCGCATAAATTGCTGCAAACTTCTTAATTTTTGAGCATAATCACATAATTGAGCATAATTGTCCATTTTTTGGCATAATCGCATAATCTACATGTGTAATTTACTTTTATGTAAGTGATCAACAATGATTATATATATATATATATTAAAATTAGCCAATCAATATAGGCCACAATTCAATTATGATTAGAGATTATAGAATGAAAAATGGTGGTTTCTGCATTTGAGGAAAAAAAGTCATTATAATAATCATTTTTATGTTGAAACTGGGAAATTATATTGCTGTTTTTGTAACCATACTATAAATCATGAAAAAAAATCAATTCTTGATAACCATATAGAATCAGCAAAACATAAAGCTGCTGAACAAAAACAAAAAAATAATCCACAACCTTTACAAAGCTCTTTGCTTTCTTTCACTAATAATGATCATGACAAAATCAATATTGCAATTATTGAAGCATTTACTAAAGCTGATATTCCTCTGGATAAAATAGATAAATTAAAGTCTTTTTTTAATTCATATTGTAAGAATGGTAAGAAAATTTTCATATCAAAAAAAATTAAAATAAATTAATTTGAATATTTTAATGTGAATTATCATTTATTTTTATTATTTCCTAGGAGGTTATATTGTAGGTTCAAATCAACTTTGAGAAAAATATTTGCCAATGAGTTATGAATTTAAAGTACAGGAATTAAAAAATCTAATAAAAAATAAAATGATTAGTATAACTGTTGATGAAACTACTGATAGTAGAAGTAGAAAAGTAGTTAACATTTTATTTAGTTATGATAAATATACTAAATTAGCTTCAACTGAATTTGTAGAAAAAGCTGATGCTGTAACAATATCACAAACAGTCATGAGTGTTTTAAATTCCTATAACATATCATATAGCAATGTCATTTTTTTTATTTCTGACAATGCAAGTTATATGAAATTAGCATATTCTTTTTTATCTCCATTTTTACCAAACATGTTTCATAATTGCTGTTTGGCACATATCTTTAGTTTAGTAGGTGAATGTTGGATCAATTTTAAAAAATTTGAGTTAGTAGATTTTTTTGTAGCAAATTTCAAATCATTATTTACTTATAGTAATTATAGGAAAAAACGATGGATTGAGCATCTTGAAAATAATAATATTTCATCACCATCATTGCCACCAGTACCAGTGAAGTCACGTTGGAACAGTTGGTTTAATTTTTTAATATGGATTCAATCTTACTTTCATTTAATTGAAT